TATACACTATTTCATCTTGCTCACTCCTCTATGGCACCTGATTCCACCTCTGATGTTTTGGAGGTCCGTGTTTGCTCTGCTCATATTTTGTATTGTTTTATGGACTTTTGATCTTGAATACTGTTTGTTGTCTTCATATGTTTCACTTCTAAATCTTACTTTAAAGATTATGTAAACAGATCTAAATATAAATAATTTTTTTTTTTTTGTTAGTACGGCTTACGCCGTTATGTTCTTGTTTTGCAACAGTTTCAACTTGAAAGACAACTTTAATGTTCAAACCTCCAGCTTTGGTAAGCTGTAAAATGGTAGTTATGCTACACATTTCTGAAGATCTTATTTTGATTACGTTCATTGCCTTCAACGTGGTCAAAGACAATTTTTGATAAAAATAGATGACCATTCATCGTAGCAACAAAATTATGAACATTTTTACATATTGCTGTATATAATAGTAAAGACTTTCTTTCTCTGAGATGTTTTTCCTGATTCCTTTTCTCATAAATATCTATATTTTGATTTTGTCTTATTAAGTTTATCAGGAAAAACAGTTCCTTAAACAAAAACATAGACTTTTTTATTTAACTCATCTTGATGAAAACAACCAATATTTTTTGTAAATTGTTTTCATTAATATTAGACTTCTGTATCGCATTTATTCTAAAATCCGATGTATGGAACAATTAAACCATGAAAGGTTAAATCAAAGAGAAATACCTTCATTATAAGCCTTCTGGTGTATAAAAGATTGCAGGAAAAACTACCTAGATGATTCTTTTTCGCAATCAATAACTGTGCAAATTACAGGCCACCAGTTCTGTAATCAAAGTTTATTGAGGATAAATTTTGTCTAATTGCGACTACCTACTGTGTGATTATTTTTATCGAATCAGTTTTTTTTTAATCGAAGTCCATTCGATAAAGGATTGTTATTTAGAAAAGTTAAGCTTTAACGTTATCTCTATTTGTTAGTAAAAGTACGCGATACCTGTTATGTATTTGGTCAAAGAAGAAAAAGTCACGTTTTTACGTAAATTCGACTATTGTAAGGGGAAAGCACTTCAAAGATGAAGCACACCAGCTTTAAGTTTTGACTTTAAAAAAAAAAGATCATGTTTTCTTAATTAGATCTCTCTAATTTTTCAAGGTATTTTCAAATATATTCATTACAAGTGCTTAAACTTAAATCTTACTACGAATGAGTTAACTCCATAACAATATGCACTTGAGACCAACAGCCCGCTTACTAAATTGCTGTTAACTATATGTCTTGTGCTCTGTTTTCTAAGTGACATTGATTTTATTTATGTGTTCTAAACAATTTGTTTCTTGATGTAATTATAACTATTTTAAATAAATACTTTTAAAAACAAAAAAATCAAGCCATACTTTGTAGCAGTTTAAGTAAGCGATCGATTTCTTTCACCGGGAATCTTTATTCAACGCGCGAAACTTATTGACGGAAATTGCTGTGATTTAGTGCAGTTGTACTACACGAAACAGGCTAAAATATTTTACCAAATCAAGTTAGGATTTTGTTGGAACAAAACTAGTAAATTATACTAGTAAATTAAAATATTTCCTTTTTTTCAAGAACAAAAATAAGAAAATATGATTTCGATTAAGTTTTTAAGTAAAAATATTTTATTATCTACAACAAAATTTTTTAAGAGAAAAATTATCTTATTATATCTGAAATATTTGTATGTTTTAAGATGCTTTTGTCATTTGCCGTAGGAGTTTTTATTATCAATTTCATGCAGTAGAGAGAGAAATTAGCAATTTCAGTTTAGGCATAAATTCACTATATTTGCAGAATCGGAATTCACTAATGTGACCAAAAATAAGTTTAAGGGGATCAAGGATGTAGGGTCACGTGACTCAGTTGATTTACGTCATAATCTATGATAAAATATGTACAAAACGAGATTGAAACCACAGTACTTGTATAATTTTTTTGACTGTTTGTTTGCGTTCACCATCTAGTATAAAAATATCTGAAAATATTCAAAATTTCTTGCAAATATTATCAAATTACGGAATGCCGTTTCCCTACTCTGCGCGTCCAGTGCGTCTTTGACGTCATAGTGGATCTTTTAGTTCAGTAAGATCATACATGGTAAAAACGGGTAGCATAAAATCATAAAAACGGGCCATAATATGTACATGGTAGGGTATTTTGTAAATTTCAGAACGCAAAAAATATTTTTACATGGTTGTTGACGGAAAAGTTCTGTGGGTTTGTCTTATTTCGCTTATTTCAGGAATGTGTGACGTCATAGTTGGGTTTTCCCGTACTCGAGAAATGTAAACATGACACGTTTTTCTCATGATCATGATTCCTTTAACTTTGCCCCGTGCACTATTGAGCTCAGCTTCACCAATCAATATTTTTACAGTTAATCAATACAATGACGACCTTGAACTTCGACGTAAATTTTCAAATATTGAATGATAGGATTTTTTGCAAATTAATTTTTTTTATGGTTTAAGTTGTCCTTAAAAAGGCGTAAATTTCCGTCTCCAGATGTGGTGTTACAAAAGAATCTTGCTTTTTCGAATTTTTAACCCTATTCATACTCTAAAATATTTTAAAAGACACATTTCCGCTGGTATATTTTTAACTATGGTGAAATATTTCAATTATCGACCGAGTAATGGACCCAGAAACACGGAGAATAAAAACTCCGCTCAGACACTGTGGGGTATAGTATTTGTCACTCAATATCTCAGAAATAAGTCTAGAAACCTATTGATATGTCTGCTGTATAGTATGTAGGACATACTAAATAAGATATATACAAAATATGACAAAAATTAAATGACAGGTATTTTTTCAGCTAAAGGTCCTTCATCCCCTTAATTTCTTTTTTACCTTAACCTGTATAATTACATACTTTTTGTATAAATGATGTATAAACTTAAAAAGGCGATTTCATTAGTCTCAGTGGTATCCTAATTATTCAAAATTTTGACATATTTGTAAATCGATTATTTTTTTTAATTAATTAACACTCATTTGATATGAATATTGAGTAATTAAATGTTGTAAGGATATGAGTATTTTAAGCATAAGTATTTGCATTTATCATCATCCTGTTTAAACATAATCCCACGAATCTCATGATTCTCAAGATTTCCCACAGAGACCTTTCATTAATACAATAATTGGACAACATTCAATTTAAATTCGTTCAGCTAAATTTATCATTGTGAGAGAAAATCAAATTTGTCTTCGTCAGTGCTAAGTAAATTGTTTGATGCTTCAATAACTCCAATCATCTGACGTCCAACTTGCTAATAGACTTAACATTTATCAGGTACAATTATGCGTAAAAAACAAAATACCGTATAGCGGATAATTTTAGCTGGTTGCTAATTTTGGCTTATTTTGATGTTTTGATAGTAGTCTGCTAAAATTTTAATCGCTAAAATAGTCAGTGCTCTTCTTAGTGTCCATCTGCAAAGAGTTGAAACCCTGCATCAGCTAAAATAAATTACGCCAAAATTATTGGCAAATATTTGAATAGGCAAAACGCCAAATTTTACAACCGCCAAGAAAACTAGCTATACGGTATGATAACAATCTAATAAACCAACAGATATACAATGTTATATATGAAATGAAATATATGGAGATAACGAACAGTATTTAAGCTCAAAAGTTCTTTAAACAATACAAATATGGAGCGGAGCAATCACGAACCTCCAAAACATCAGAGGTGGGACCAGGTGCCATGGAGGAGTGAGCAACCCTTGCCAACCGATCACACCCCGCCGTTTGCTCCTTGTCTGGTCGGGATATAATGGAAAAATCCGTCGTCAATTAAGTGTATAAAAATAATGGACTAACAATTAGTGTGAAAACTTCAGTCAGCAATTAAGAATCAAAATCTGCTAAAGTTGCAGAAAAAATCTATAGTGTAACATGTGCATGTGCAAAACATATATGTTAAAGAAGTTGATCCTAAGATTGCCAGTAAAATCCATTCGATTTCGACCGTATTAACCGGGTTTCCTTGTCGGAAAAGGTGTTTGCAGAAACAGAACCCTCACTGCTCAAAAATCCTAACTGCCGAGTAGAGATGTAAATTTGCAGCACTCCTCTGAAAAGTAGATTCTTCTAGATGAGTTAAATGAGTTGAAAGGACGCTTAACAATCATGTTCGACCAACCTTCCCCCGTTTAGCGAAACTGCCTGCGTGGCTAATGATTAGAAGAATATGAGGGATGGCTTTGAGAGTTGTTTTCATATTGGAAGCTAATGATTAGAAGAATATGAGGGAGTTGTTTTCATAAAGCAAGAATTGGAAATGAAATTTTTTTGGCCATAGTAAATGCACGAAAAAATCCCTTACTCAAACATGGTCTAAATTTACAGCCTATGGGAATGCGTCCCGATTTGAATGACGTAGGACGACAAACAACCAATCCGATGATCTATTTCCGATATAGCGCTTATATCGGAAAACAATAAGTAATAACAAGGATATCAACAGTTTTGTTTAAAGTCATCATTTTGCAAGTTCAATGGTCGATACAATGGCCGTATTTTCAAGAACAATCTACATGTATTATTAAGTTGAATGCTGCTTGACAATTTTCTCCCTAATTGTAAGACCATTATTTACACACTACACCTTCATGGCACCTGGTCGCATTTCTGATTGTTAAGAGGTCTGTGTTTGCTCTACTTTTCGATTTGTATTTTTTGAGGGACTTTTGAGCTTGATATTATGTTTGTTAGTTCATACTTCATGCAATATTTTCTGGGTGCTTATTTATTTATAGTGACTATTGCATAAGTGTAAAACAAGGTATATGACGCATAGCTATTATTGATCAAGTTAATAAACATCCTTAATGTATTTCTTTTCTAAACTTTGATCCATATATATATATTCCTTCTTTTTTAGTACATTGTTAATTTAACACCTAGTAAAGCTTTTGCCTTTTCCCCATTTATTACAGTGTATTAAACAGTAAAATATGTTAAAAAAGAAGCAAGCATTGATTCTTTTTTGTTCAATTTCAGATCTCATATTTGCAGAGCCAATTTTATCCTGTTCATCGCAACATTTCTAAGTGGTAAGTGCAAGCTAAAATATCTTAATCGGGAAATTAATTCTTTTCTGCCCTATTTACAATCAATCTTTTTCTTTAAATTTATGAAATAAACAATAGAATTTAAAAGTAATTCTACAGGACTTATTTCAGTAAAAATGAATCTGAAATGATTATAATAATTCAAAAAAATTATTTGGATCCTTCAGTTAAAGAATGTCAACATTTCAGAAAATACAACCTAGATGGTGTGAATGCTAGCATACAGCAATTACCGTTTTTTAAAAGAATGATAATATTTGAAATATATTATTTTTGGACTTATGCAGCCTTAGGCATGAACACTCAGATTTGTAATTATTTTCATTGGATTTTTTGTGTTGGTGTTATCGATCAGTTTTGTTTTGTTTCGCTTTAATAGAGATCCAAAAATAACTACAACCATTCATTCATTCATGTTAAGTTTAAATTGAAATACATTTGTTTTTTTTTTAAGAATTACACTTATCGGAAATTGAATTTTATTATTTTTGCAAATGTAAACATAAAGCTTATTAAAACATCAAAAAGTAATACTCTAAATATGAAATAACAATTAATAAAGATGCATCTTTTTTGACAGCTAACTAAATTTTGAATATGTGCTAATTTTTCGTAAATTCACAAATAATTTACAAGTAATCGAAACCTTATTTTATAGTAACCACTTGTTTGGTTTAAACTTACAAAAAACGTCAAAAGTTAAACATCCTGTCAATTTTGCAAATAAGAAAATAGAGCTTTAGGTTCGTAAGTTGGGAATGATATTTGTTATTTTTTCTAAAGTCCATTGAAAGAGTACAAATTTATGATCTTATACTGTATTCTAATTTCTTAAATATTGACTAAATTATGAATATATTACAGAATGCTTATGTTTGTCCCAGTTAGTGTTTTATGAAGAACAAAGAACCTGGAATGAAGCCTACACAATTTGTGAGAAAAATGGTGGACTGCCGATGTCGATAGATTCACAGGAGAAATACGATCTGTTAGACACTTTTTCCAATGAAAGACCCTGGAACTCGGTGAAAAAATTGTAAGTTCTCAGTCCAATGAACCTTAGGTTTGAATGGCACAGGGTTAATTAAAAGTACATGTATACAGAAAACCGATATTTTTTTATTTGCCTAGTCGTGTTATCTTTTTAGAAGAATGGCTGTGTAATGAAATGAAAAAGCAATCTTGCAAGATATGTAAGTCTCTTTTGATATGACTCAAACAGAAATTGGAATGATACGCTTAGGCCCATAGTAAATAGCGTAAATAAGTAGCCTGATCTTCATGCCACTGTTTTAAAACTATATAATAGGTTTAAGAGGATTGGGAGTCTGCATACAAGAAAACAAGAGGCCCAGGGGCCACAGCGCTCACCTGAGCACATCAGGCTTGAATTTACTCCACCACCCCCCTCCCCTCCAGGCGTTCATCATTTGAACAAACTATAATCTACACTACCTGAGGATGATTCCATATAAATATCACAATCATAGCTTTGAAGTACTTGAAAAGAAGATTTTAAAAGGTTTCCCTATATATCCCTATGTAAAACTTGGGTCAGCCATTTTGGCCCCACCCTTGCCCCAGGGGTCATGATTTGAACAAACTTGAATCTACACTACCTGAGGATAATTCCACATGAGTTACATCTTTCCTGGCCCAGTGGTTCTTGAGTAGAAGATTTTTAAAGAATTTTTCCTATATATTTCTATGTAAAACTTGGGTCGGCCATTTTGGCCCCACCCTTGCCCCAGGGGTCATAATTTGAACAAACTTGAATCTACACTACCTGAGGATGATTCCACATGAGTTTCATTTTTCCTGTCCTAGTGGTTCTTGAGAAGATTTTTAAAGATTTTTCCTATATATTCCTATGTAAAACTTGGGTCGGCCATTTTGGCCCCACCTTTGCCCCGGGGGGTCATAATTTGAACAAACTTAAATCTGCTCTACCTGAGGATGATTCCACATGAGTTTCATCTTTCCTGGCCCAGTGGTTCTGGAGAAAAAGATTTTTAAAGATTTTTCCTATATATTCCTATGTAAAACTTGGGTCGGCCGTTTTGGCCCCACCCTTGCCCCGGGGGTCATGATTTGAACAAACTTGAATCCACACTACCTGAGGATGATTCCACATGAGTTTCATCTTTCCTGGCCCAGTGGTACTGGAGAAGAAGATTTTTAAAGATTTTTCCTATGTATTCCTATGTAAAACTTGGGTCGGCCATTTTGGCCCCACCTTTGCCCCGGGGGTCATGATTTGAACAAACTTAAATCTACACTACCTGAGGATGCTTCCACATGAGTTTCATCTTTCCTGGCCCAGCGGTTCTGGAGAAGAAGATTTTTAAAGATTTTTCCTATATATTCCTATGTAAAACTTGGGTCGGCCATTTTGGCCCCACCCTTGCCCCGGGGGTCATGATTTGAACAAACTTGAATCCACACTACCTGAGGATGCTTCCACATGAGTTTCATCTTTCCTGGCCCAGTGGTACTGGAGAAGAAGATTTTTAAAGATTTTTCCTATATATTCCTATGTAAAACTTGGGTCGGCCATTTTGGCCCCACCCTTGCCCCGGGGGTCATGATTTGAACAAACTTGAATCTACACTACCTGAGGATGCTTCCACATGAGTTTCATCTTTCCTGGCCCAGCGGTTCTGGAGAAGAAGATTTTTTAAAAATGTCATAAATTTTTCACAAATTCATAATTATCTCCCCTTGGAAGAGGGCTTGGTCCTTCGTTTGAACAAACTTGATTCCCCTTGACCTAAGGATACTTTGTAGCAAGTTTTATTGAAATAAGTCTAGTGGTTCTTGAGAAAAAGATGAAAATGTGAAAAGTTTACAACAACGACGACAACGACGACAACGACGACAACAACGACAACGACGACAGACAACGGACAAATTTTGATCAGAAAAGCTCACTTGAGCCTTCGGCTCAGGTGAGCTAAAAAGTGGTTTTACAAGGACCTTTTCAAATTAGACACTTCTCAGGTTTTCAAACGTGTCTAACATCCTACATTATAATGTTTGAAAAGAAAAGACAAATTCTGTTTAAAGCGTCTAAGTTATACCAAATGACCAAAGAAATTGAACTAATTTTTTTTTTTCAAAAAAATCACTCAGACGTTATGGACTACTCTTGAGGCAGTCGAAGCGACATTTTGTTAATGCTTCTTCAGTAATATTGTCCTCATATATCTTACAGACGGCTCGGATATTCTGCGTGAAATTTGTTTCAAAAGATTTACCAAGTTTGCTAATGCATTCGACATATGAAATTTTCAAAACAATGGTCATTGATGTGAAAATATACGAAATGAAAAATTTTTGAATTTCATTATTCTCATTATTTTCAGTACGGGTGACTATGCGGGTGCATAGTCACCCGCGTGGCGCAGTGGTTCGAGTGGCTGCTCTAGAGTTGCAGGTTCAAATCCCACCGTGGGATGTGGAGACAGGTTCTTAGGATGAGACCGTATAAACGAGGTCATGTGTCGCAGTAGGTGCTGGCACGAAAAAAGTCTCTTCCTGCTCAATGGCCCTGACTGCCGAATAAAGGGACAAAATTTGCAGCTCTCCACCGACAAGTGGTGACGTCTCCATATGAGTGAAAAGTCTTGAGAGGGACGTTCAACAACAAACAAACAAACAGCACATGCACAGTTATTTAACTTTTTTTTTATTCTTATTATTTTTATTTTTTTGGAATTGTTTCTTTTAAAAATGAAAATAAGTTTTGCTTCATATCCAACAGATTTTTGCGGTAAAAAATGAAATTGGAATGTCAATCTTACATAGTCGTTATCGTCTTAAAACCGAAGAAGACTGCGTTTATATTGCTTTAATCTTTCACAGAATAATTCATACTGTATATTAAGGTACTCCTATCCTCAGGTTTTGAAAATTAGGCATTGACTAATTGAAAATGCTCACAAAATGATTCTGAATTCTAAAAGTAACGTGTTTTACCCACAATGATTCTTCAAACTTCATCTTTAAAGTTAATCATATTATATAGGGAAAATTAGTAAATCTCAAATAAATTTTCAGGAAATACGAACAAAAACACTTACTATGCATTTTTCAATTTCAAATTTGATCAACAAACACATTTTAGAAATAAAAATCATAGGTTTTCAGGCTTTTGGAGAAATGACACAAAGAGCTATTTAAAGCCACGAACCATCGAAATGCGCCTTAACTAAAACATTAACGAGAATTTCAATAAAGATAGTGTAGAATTGTAATAAGGTACTTTAATTTCTTTTAATTACTTCGATCCTTTTACTTACTTCGATCATTTTACAATGTATAGTGTATACACTCTTAAAAAAGTTTTACTTAGTAGTCATTTTTTACTTGAAATAACAAAGATAAGTAATAGATAATTACTAAGCATTTGCTTAAAATTTAAAATCAATTACTGAAATATATGTCAAATACTAGATTCAAATGTTTTACTTGATTTTTTTATTTTAAAGAATTGTTTTACTTACACACTAAAAAATTTTATCTTAGTAATTTATATTTACTTAAATTTGTGTATATAAGTAATAACATTACTTGGTCTTTACTTACATTTTACCACTATTTACTATATAATCAATATTTTAATGCCCCCGTTAACGAAGTTTCGGGGGTACAGTACTGTATATAGTTTTTGTCGTGTCTGTCTGTCTGTCTGTCTCTCTATTTGTCTGTTTATCCGCAGAAACTTTAACCTTGCCCATAACTTTTGATATAGCGGAGCTATGACTTTCATATTTCACACGTGTATTCCTTGTGACAAGACCCTTCTTTGAGTATCATCAAATTTGACCTTGACCTTGTAGTTTGACTCACTTACACACAAAAACTCCAAACTTATTCTTTATCCAAATCTTTTGAACAGTAAATACCAGGACATTTATACTTCACATATATATTTTTTGTTGAAAGAACTTTCATTGAATTCAAACAACTATGAACTTTTGACCTTGACCTTGGAGATTTCCATCCTTGTAAATAAAACTTTAACCTTGGCCATAACTTTTGAACGGTAAGGAATAGTGCTTTCATACTTACATATATGTAATCATTTTGAGAAGACAATTCATAGGATACCAAGAACTTTGACCCTTTGACCTTGATCTTTGAGTTTGGCCCACTTTTAAAAAGCAAACCTTGACTGTAACTTTAAAAGGATTAGGGTTAGTGCATTCATACTTTACATAGTTCATCCTTGTGACAAGACCTTTCTTTGAGTACCACCATTTATGTCCCTTTGTCCTTGACCTTGGTGTTTGACCTACATTTCAAAATTGATAACCTTGACCATAACTTCTGAAGGGTTGAGGCAAGTGTTTTCATATTTCACATATGTATTTTTTGTGACAGGACCTTTCATTAGATACCAATAACCTTGACCTTTTGACCTTGGAGATATCAAGAAATACCAATAATTTAAATTTGCATATAAAAAAAAGTTTAAGATATGCTATGTTGCCATACGGGGGCGTAGGTGTTTCACAAACACATCTTGTTTAAATTGTATTTAATTGATTTACTTAAAACAAAAAATTATTTACTAAATCAAGGAGAATTCAGAGCAGTAATTACTTAAATATGGTAGTCTAATCACTATCGGCCAGTATCGGGATTGAATTCTTGAAATGAAAAATAGAATTTTGGCTTCCATATTAATTGTCTGTGAGGAGGAGTTATCTTTCTTCTAAATATTCCTTCATGTGAAAAAAAAATCACACTAATAAAAATGCGATATTAAGTACTTGAAATGTTTAACCATTTTTAAAATGGTCCTTAAAAAGATACAACTTATTCAATTTTTAAGGATTTCGAAGTTGGAATCAAATGTTTTATTGTAACATATAATAAAACAATTACAAAGAAATTGGCAAAAGAAATTGAAAGTACATAACTGTTTCCATCATAAATAGATTTCTTCTATTAAACTATTCAGAGGGCCCATTCAGGGATCTCTGATAAAGAAATATGTGAGTAGTACTGACATGTTAGAGGATCGGTACCTTGCAGTGTTTCTAGTAAATAATGTCGATTTTAGTAAATATGATAAGTATTTCATTTACTTAGTATTCTTTTGAGTAATAATATTCTAGATTTTGATTAATTTTAGAATTACATTTACTTAGTAATAATTCATAAAATTTAGTAAATAGAAAGCATATTATCTGCAAATTAAGTAATAATAATTTAACAAAAATGAGTAGTTCATTTACTAACTTAAAGTAATATAATTCCTATAGTTTAAGTAATTCTATTGATGCGTAGTAAATGATTTTATAAGTAAATGAATTCATCCTTATTACTAATTATGTTTACAATTACTAACCATGATAGTCATTTACTTGCTATTCTGACTAAATGGATTACTAATAATTACTAGTTTTTCTTAATCTAATATCTTATTTTAAAAACAACAAGTAAAACTTTTTTTAGAGTGTAAAGATTTTCCTTTTATTGCAAAACATTATAATTCACCTCTAATTTCATATCATGTAAATAAACACTGGTACCTATGGTTAGAATAAGAGGAACCTCAATTTCTTTAATTTTGTAATTTTACAATACTTCTATGAGGTAAAAATTTTAACTTTTTATAAGACATTTTTGAGAACTTCAAAGAACCTTGAAGAACATTGAAAGGTATAAAATGAAAATTGTTGCATGAAAAGATTTAATTTTCAAGCTTCATTTTGAGACTCTACGAATTTAATTATAAAGTTAAGAGTTATTCTTCCTGGCTTAGAATCGGAGTACCTTAACTTTCTGGGGTATATTTTTTAAAATGTTTGCTGGTATCATAGAAACAAACGGTTTATTTCGATAAAGGTTTTCCACATACTGGTTGTAGTGTCTTTACGGGATGGTGTTGCATTGCTTTTGCTACAAATACTGATGTATGCTAGAAATAAAAGTCAATAATATAAAAAGTCATGAACATATCATCCTACTGATAATTCTAATTTATTTTTACAGAGATAAAAAAAAGGTTTGGATTGGTCTTCATTACACTGACTCAGCAGGTACTAAGTTAGCTTGGGCGGATTGTTCCTCGGTATCCTGGACAAAATGGCATCCTAGTCAACCCAAAAGCACAAGTACTAATAAGTGTGTATACCTCAAAACTATTGCCTCCAATTTCTGGACGGACGTATGCAGTAGCCAGCTATATTTTATATGTGAAAATCTTGACTCGAGTAAGCTAATACCCATTCATTTCTGTTAAACAATTACGTTCGTTGTTTTGTTGTTGTTGTTGTTTTTTGTTGTTGTTTTTTCTTGTTGTTGTATCTTTTTTTTTTTTTTAGAGTCTGTCATTGCTACGATTTGCAGATCGATAACAATAACTTTGATCTTTATAATTTAATGGATTCCAATAAAATCAAATCTTTATATACACATATTTTTTTTTATTTCAAGGTTCATGTACGACTTCCCTTAGATCCTGCTATGAAGGTTAGTGGCGTTTTAACTTAAAAGTATAGTAAAGAGGATATAGATAATTGTGAAATGAAGATTTTCTTTTTGAAGAATCCAAAATTTTTCGTAAAGAAAGAAAAGAACAATGTTGTTCTTATTTAGATTAAGATAAGTATGATTATTTTATTATATAATAGTTAACATAAGTTCCATGTAACTCCCGTCAATAAACTTACTCCACATTATCTTCAAAATTTTGAACACTTCGAGTGTGGCACAGTTCGGGTATTAAAAAGTTGTCATTTCCTTAAAAATCATTTTCAAAAAAAAAGCTGAAATCAAAAATTAGATAAATTAATGCTTCTTTAAAAAAATCATTGACTATAAAATGATGTCAGCTGATAAAGCAATCAAGATAATTAAGGCGCACAGGTGATGAATAATGAACCGTTACATGCTCTGTTGCCTTCAACTGGTTTCATTTATTTGGCAATTTATTCCATGATAACGGTTTTGTCTACTTTAATAAAAATGGGATTTTCAATCATTCTTGTACAGCAACAATCGGCGTAACAGGACAATCAGTGGACAGCAATACCAATAACAATCCACGTTCAAGCTGTTACGACAGTGAACTCACAACATCAACAAATACTGATTCCACCTCTCCGAAATCAGTAACAAGTGCACTCACAACATTAACAAAAACTGATTCCACCTCTCCGAACTCAGTAACGAGTGCACTCACAACATCAACAAAAACTGATTCCACCTCTCCGAACTCAGTAACGAGTGCACTCACAACATCAACAAAAACTGATTCCACCTCTCCGAACTCAGTAACGAGTGCACTCACAACATCAACAAAAACTGATTCCACCTCTCCGAACTCAGTAACGAGTGCACTCACAACATCAACAAAAACTGATTCCACCTCTCCGAACTCAGTAACGAGTGCACTCACAGCATCAACAAAAACTGATTCAACCTCTCCGAACTCAGTAACGAGTGCACTCACACTAAGTACACATTCGGCAACATACAACTTACCCCAGACCATGTCCTCCTTTACTATATATTCCGAAACTAAAGCAGACTCCACAACATCATCAACATACTATACAACTAGTTCTGTAGGAGAATGTTCCTGTAAATGCATGGATGATGGAGCCAATATGACAGAAACTGTGCTTCAGAGCAAGATAGAAGCCAGAAAAAAGTACCTAACGGTTGATAAGCAATCTCTTTCGAGCACGATCCGCAAGAAAGAGAGTGCTGAGGATCCTCGACCAAGTGCCAAAGGAATCGGTACTGTGGGTGTGGTTTTCATTGTATTCATTATTGGAGGAATAGTTATACCAGATCTTTATAGTTTGTATGTACATGTATGTATGCATATCTTCAAAGCAAAACAGTATTCAAAAACTAATGATAAATTACAAGCAAACAACGAATGTATAGAACAGAACGACATGGTTTAGAAAGCAGTAATGAATAATTGGAATGTATAAAGAGCTGTGTTCTAGGAACAGGCTTGACGCCTCCGTGTGAAGTGATTTGTTCCTTCGTGCAGGCAGACATAAAGGACAGACGGCAGACAAAGTGTTTCTATTATATCCGCCATGTTCCATCTTTTATCAAGTCAATGTTTTCAGCATTGGCACCTCCACTGAACATGCAATGTGTACAATGCTTTTATTGCACCAAAAAAAAGGCATCTAATAGTTGGAATATTGAAAGAAAAATACATATACCAAAGTCTCTGTAAATTACAGTATATACGAAATGAAAACACCGCAAACATCTATTTACATGTTTAAGTTCATGTGTTTTTATAAGTTTCAATGCAAATGCGTTGGAATACAGTTACGATAGTAAGTTATATGCAAGGATCTATATAAAATTAAATATGTGCATTTCGAGTTCTCGATGCTCCATTTAAATAATCAATGCTTCAAATGCATCATCTCTTCGTTTACATTTATTTCTATGCAATTACATTGATAAAACTCTTCATTGTAATAAAGCTCTTTAAAATAAATATGCTTATTGTATATTGGGTATGAGATATTCGATCTCAGATTTTTCTTTTCAATACAGTAAAAAGGCTAATGCTTTAAGCCCTATTTAATGTACCGCAAATACAGAACAATGCAGGGGTCATCCGAATTGCATTGTGTGTAAGATATTTGCATTGAATGAAAATTAAATCATGGTTTAGAGGTTTAAGATAAATAGCATCTGTCATTTTCAGTACTTTTAAATTATTGATATGCAAATATGGAGTAAAAATCCCTACAGTTAATTATCAAGGAATTTAGAAGATTGAAATAGAAAAAAATTTACTGAGACAAAGTCTCTTTGAGATAACCTACTTTAAAGGTTTATCTACTGGAATCATTATATCAACCTAACATGGATCGATGATGCAATTTAAAGTATGTGCATTAATTGTTGCAATTATTATAGAGTTGTGTAATGCGTGCTACCAAAAGGGAAGATGTATAGATACATTACAGATTGACCCCATTAACTGGATTTAGTAAAGGTTAAAGTAAAAGAGTGTGAAGACCATAAGCCTAGTCCTTTTTTTTTTTTTTTTTTTTTTTTTTTTTTTTTTTTGGGTTTGGCTGTAATGATACATGTATGAAATATACGGAGATAACGAACAGACTTTGCGTTCAAAAATCCAATAGACAATAAAAAAAATAGGACCAGAGCAAACACGGACCTCCAAAACATCAGAGATGGGATCAGGTGCCATGGAGGACTGAGCATCCCCTGCCGACAGGCACATCCGCTGTGTGCTCCTAGTCATGATAGGGAAATAACGGGAAAATCCGTCGTCAATATGTATTTGAGAGAGGTGGCGGGAGAGCGGATAGAATAAGGTTTTTAATAGCCTGCTTAATTAAATAACAAATTCTTTAGTTAGAATGATCTACACTCTAAAACAATATTTATAAAAATGTTAAGCAGTATGAAATCTACATGCATTACTTGTATTTTGATTAATTAAAGCATTCTTAGCCCTTCAATAGGCCAGGATTAATTAACTGAAGACTTAAACAGCATGAATTTACTCGCATTTCAGAAGGCTAAAGTGATTTTCTATCTATCAATTCTTTTTTCTTTTCAATCTTTTTTTCTTGTGGTAAATGGCTGGTCTCCAATTTAGAAAATGAAATAGATGAACTTAAATATATACAAAAATATGTTCAAATATTTATACAATTTATTGAGTCTGTGCAAGAAAAAAATCCTTAGTGTATGAAGGGGTTCTTGCACTTACCCAGTATATAGAAGAAAAACCAGCTTAATTGACATTTTTTTCCTGTTTAGAGGCCCATTTTCCTTACATTATAATAATTGATAAATAAATATATTTGTATTATGGAATATGTTTGTTTTCTTTGTGTAATTTCAACTGATCTACATTTAAATACGTATATGTGGATCTTTTACTTGAGAAAGACGTCAATGGTTATCTAACAACAAAGCTTAATGATAAAGGTGATGACTCTTAACTTTTCGATCGTCGATTTCCCTTACTTATATACAGCAATATACCTTTGTCACCTGCATGCGGAGTTTATATATCTCAGTTGATATGATATGCATGAGCATGGTCTACGTGTGAACAATTTCTAGAACGAATTAATTTATTTACAAAGAAGTTGATGAAGCAAGAATATCAATAGTCTCGTTTAAAGCCATCGTTTCTTAAGTTCTATGTCGATACAATGATCTTCTTAAATACAATTTATCAAATTAGTCTAATGCTGACTGACTTTTTCCATACTAAGACGGCCATTATTTACACACTGATCTATCCATGAATTTTTCCTTTGCCCCTCGTGATCGGTCGATAGGGGATGCTCACTCCTCCGCTTGATTGTTTTGGAGGCCTGTGTTTGCTCTACTCCTATTTTTTAATGTTTAAAGGACTTTTGAGTTCGAATACTATTCGTTAACTCCACACATTTAATGAATTTATTAATCTTCTTGATCACAATGAAGATTTATATAAATTGAAATCATTGAACTCAATTGGAACTAGACAAAATTTTATCATTCCTGCATAATCAATTTTACTAGTTCATTTTCAACATATGGTGCCTGCAGTATCTATTTATTCAAGAAAAATTAACAAAGGCAATGAATTACTTCTGAAAACTTAGGCAAATAATTTGTATTCAGGTATTTTGCCTTTTTCTATTAAAATGTTAAGAATACTTTAACCTTTTACAAAGTGTCTTTTACTGATTTCAATTAACTCTATAGTAATTAAAGGGAAAATCTCAGTTTCACTGCATAAACAAATATTTGATTAGAAGTCTCCAGTGTGCAATGTTATGAGCTTGAATAAAAGCAATCCAAGAGAGAAAAACGTGTCTCGATACAGATTTGCAATATTATGTAGAGTTATCTATCTTTGAACATTTTAATACAGTAGTAAAACTTAGCAACTTTTTCCAGCTCCAGAAATAGTTGCTTAAAGGTATCTATTTATTTGAACACAGAAACTGTAGATAAATTGTTAATACAAAATGGTTGAATGATATTGAATGAGAAACAATATCAAATGATTATATTGATATATAAATTAATTTTACTTGCGATCACTTGAGTATATAAAACAAGTATATATGTAAATTATAATGATAAAGCAAAATCTGATAGATAATGGTATGTTGCCCACCCCCCAAAAAAGAGGAATATGAGATCAGGCAGCAAGATTATAGTAAATATGGCACCCAATAACAATCCATAAAGTAGATATATTTTCTTGCAGATATTTATTGAAGCAAAATTAACAATATCGCATAAGCATAAATTATGCATCTTGCAGTTTACACAAAGTAAACATGTCTTAAAATTTGGCCTCTCTTGTCCTAGCTTCATATAATAACCTTAATGTAAAAATATAATATATTTTTGTCTCAATTTAAATTGTACAGTTTTTTGCAAGTTAATAACTAAAGAAAATTAATTTTATCTCTAACACAGCAAATATTCTTGCATAAATAATTCTTAAGGAGGCTCATTACACCACTTTTTGAACACTACACAAAAAAATAAACCTCCATTGTGTTCTTGCATAAATAACCTTTTAAACACTTTAGAATAGATGAAACATGCGGTGTTATAAAAAGTGAAAAAAAAGTAACGGATTCATAATGCATACACCAGGAAGAATTGATTTTAAGCAGAAACAAAAGAAAACAACAGTCAAATCTTCGCCAAACAAGTAATGTCAATTTCATAGCGATGAATGCAGTGAGCTCTATCAATCAATGACATATTTGTATGTTAAAATCTACACCCTTGTTGAAATTAAAAAATTATTTACTTGCATTATTTACTGTGTTGTTGTTAATTTATATATTTGCTTTATTGAGTTAAATGTATACTCTGGCAATTTAAAGCTTTGTTCTAAATTTTAGATGTAATGTCAAACGTTCCTTCGTGATTTGAGTCTTGGGTAATTAGGAAAGATAACTCTTAAAAGTGGACTTTTATTCCAAATATTTTTTAAAATGGATTTTTCATTTCGTTTAAACATTCTTCATTCAATTTGACACATGTAATTCATTGAAATACATTAGAGACCATTTTCACGTTTTATGCATAGATTAAAAAGATAATGACATTAATTGTTTTTCAGGAGAAAATTATTTTTTCTAATAAAATTATTAATAGGTATTATAAGGTATTTTCACTGTGTGTACTTGTCTTCAGAAGATGCCCATCATTTGACACTGAAAGTTCAGAAATTCTGTTAATAATAAACTTGAAATAAAACATTTCACTAAAAAAAGACAAAAACTAAAAAATTCTATAAAAAATATTTATGATATCAATACCCCCATCTGGATATTTGACATCTACATAATAAGTGGTGCTGTATTGAAATCTAAAATAAACTGTGGATGTAATGAGCCACCTTAAATTTGATTTCTTAAACACTTGCGTTATTCATCACCGTTGTGAAATAAATAAGTATAACAGTTCTTTATAAAACGCACAAATTAATCTACATGATCAACCATGCCCTTTCCAATGACCCAATAGTCAGGATTATCACATCAGATAAAATACAATTGCTTTTAAAAATCGCATGTTTGTCCCCTTAATGCCCAGAAGTCCTTTTCACAGAAAATCTTACGACTAAGACTAAAACTTTTTCCCATTATAAAACAAGTATCTAAACTAAAATCTATTACGATAAATGAATATTTTATGATAAAATTGTAATTGATTATTTAGAAAAGAAATACCTTTATAAAATAAATAATAACAGAGTAGAAATTTTAGCCCTAATCGTAAGATTTTTTTGTGAAAATGGCCACAGGAGCAGGGATTTACAATAATTTACACAAATACAGTATAAAAAATCGATCCGGAGATAAAGAACAGTTCTCAAGCATAAAAACCATTCAAATAATACAAATCAGAAGCAGAGCAAATATGGATCTCTGAAACATCAGGATGGGATCAGGTGCCATGTAGGAGTGAGCATCACCTGCCGACGATCACATTCACCGTGTTTGCTCCTTGTTATGATTGGAACATAACAAAAAAAGTTTTTTTTTTTAAACTGTAATAAAATTCAATGTGTACTAGTAAATAATGGTCTAATAATTATCATTCATAAGAACCCTGAGTCGGCATTGCACTTAACGATGGATTGTATTTGCTGACAGGGTCATTGTATCGACCATAGAACTGACTTGATCGAAATAAAGACATTAAACGAACTGTTAATATTCTTGTTTCATCATCCTTTTTGTCGAAAATTTACCTCGTTTAAAAAATAGAGCATGGACCTGTGTATTGAGTAAATTGAGAGATATAAACCCTGTGTGCAAGTGATAAGGGTATATTGCTGCGATGTTTGCTGCATAAAAGGGGAATTTGACGATTGAAAAGAAATCACATTAATCATAAAGCTTTGTTGTTAGGTTACAAATAACTCCTTTCTAGTAAAAAATCTAAACACAAAACAGATGTGTTTGTTGTATCCTTAATGATCAATCGAGTCCCACGCTTACACCAGGCAGTGAAATTAATTTGGGAAGTGACAACATTTGATTGTTCATCACAACCAAGCATTTAACTTGTTCCTTTGATTCTCGGGGGAAGTAAAGATTTTCAAGAAAGAATGTATTTTCATTTATATTAGAAAACTGAAATATCCTTGTCCAAACTTCATAATTTCTGATCCAGGAATCATAAGGGCAACAAATCAAACATTAAACATCATGACAAACGCTGACTACTTGATATCCAGTAGTAAAGAGTGTTTTGACGATTGCGTGAAGTTACCAAATCCCAGAATCCCAGGGGGCTGGGGGTTGTGGGAGGGTTATTTCATAGATACTTTCAGCCGTTCTAGAGAATACTTAAGCGTTGCTAACGACGCAAGACGGTAGTGGTGACTTTATAGGTCATCTGAGTGACTCAACTGACCTTAGATACATTGAAATATCACAAAATTGTTTAGACTGTAATATTTTTCATAGTGTATATATAATAAACTTCATAAATTTCCAATCAACACTGTCAACAAGTTACATACGTGTTTTGACAAATGATACCAGTGTCGCGTCTTTGATGTGTAATTACTTTTCCTAGTGCACTTTTCCCGTTGGTTATAAAAGAAGCATAGCTCTTAAAAAGTACAAAAAATGTAAGTACACCGCAACTTTACTGTGTGTTGGACGCGTGTCTTGAAACAGTCGACACATCTGAAAGTTATTTTTTATTTGATACTTATGTATTTGAAGAGAATATAACGAACAATTATAAATATTTTAAGGAGCTGTTCACATTTTCTTTAAACGTAACAACTCATCCCAGGCACGGCTTATGCTCGGGGGCGGAATTTACTAGTCACTACTGTGTTTTATCGCTCATTCATGCTGTGTGATATTAAAAACATAAATAGATGATGAAGAAAAAACGTGATTATGTTCTGCAAATCCACTTTAATTACCCTTAGACATTTTTCCTTCTTCTTTTACGTAAACAAGATGAAAATCAGTTTTTAATTTTATTGTTGTATATCAATTTACAAAAATGAATAAATATAAGTATATGGAAATGTTGAAACGATCAAAAGAGATCTTGTATAATTCAATATACTAGTAACCTATAATCTAATAAAATAGATTAGAGATTCTTTATCTATAGCATTGATACAAAAGCGATTTGAAATTAATCTTGTCTTCTTGCTTTAGCCTATTCTCGACTAGACATTCAAATGCATAGTATATAAATATCTATAGAAATGCATATTTGAGTATAGTAAATTTAAATTTTAAAAAGATGAATACAAAAAACAAATAAATTAACACAATAACAATACAGTAAAAATATAACAATAGGAATGTAAATGGATTTCCTTGAACACTGTGCTTTTTACCATTGTTTCTATATGTGTGTCTATGGCAAGGTATTGACAACAATACATGGTCTTATGCTCTCTTTGCTTTTCAGGACAACGGTTAAACAGAAAAGATAGTTAGAGTTCTTCTGCAAATTTTCCTTTTCAAAACTTAAGGCAGTCCTTGGAACATCCACTTTATTCCACTGAAAAGTCCTCAAAAGTTGGTACTCCAAAAAGTATTTGTCTATTTTCTCTGGATCTGAAACTTTCCACTCAAACTTGACGGTAGAACTGGATTCGGTGATTCTTTCGAAGCTGAATACGTTGTTTGTGGGTGATTTTTTGGTGACAGGTGGGACCGAGGGGGACACAGTGGTGGTGATGGAAGGAGGGGTAGTAAAATCGTTACACCTTTTCGGGGTGTAGCTACTTTCACACACCAGTTTAGTCCTGTTAACAGTCACCAAATTTCTGCCAGCTAAAGGTGTAGGAGTACTGCAAATCGCTCTGATTAAAAAGTATTTGATGTCGTTTTTTATTCTTAGTTCGTTGAGCCAGTCATATAGCCAGAGAATTTTGCAATCGCAGTGGAGGGGAAGGTTATTGATGTAAAGCATTTCCAACTTTGTAAATTTGTTTAGTGCACATTCATCTAACTCTCGAATTTGATTGTTTCCAATGCTCAAACTCACCAAATTGTCTGTTAAGCCATACATTTGTTGTTCGGTGAGTTTAGTAAGTTTGTTGTTTTCCACCATGAGATATTTCAAATGTTGATTATTTTCAAACTGGAAGTCGGGAATTTCTGTGATTCCTGTTCCCCCAAGCTTAAGAACTTGGAGGTTGGTGAGGCGCTTCAATGCACTCCATAAAGTTGTCTCATCGAGGACAGTATCGGCGAGAATAAGCCTTTCTAAATTATCCAGGCCTTGTACACTTTTTGTATTTAATTGAAAAATCGCAGTATTTTGTGGAATGTTTGTGTTTTCGCCTCGGAGATCTAGCTCTTGCAATCGGGGTGTCTTCATAAAAGCACCATCTTCTATTTCCACGAGATTATTATAGGATGCATCTAAAAACTGTAATGAGTCAAGGCCTTGAAAGTCTTCAGATCCGATTTTTGTTAACCAGTTTGAATCAATGTTCAGATAAACCAAACTACGCATGTTGTAGAATAACCCACTTGGAATGACTTTCATATTGTTATGCCCAAGATTAAGTTGTTCTAATTTGTCCCACCTTTCAGAAGCGATGGCTCCAACACTGCTCTCATCTAAATTATTAATGTGAAGTCCAAGATATCTTAGGGAGTCTTGAATTCCATCAAAACAGCCTGATCGGAGTGTAGTTAGACCGTTGTGTGATAGAACCAGTTCCTGGAGGTTGTGAAGCGAGGCTAAAGCCTGGTAAGGTATTTCTTTGATTTCCAGGTAGACCGCAGACAAATGTTCCAGTGAGGTCAATTCTGCTATTCCAGCTACAGGGAATGTTCTTATCTTTAATGCCTCTAGAACCAATTTCTTCAACATAGGGACACGATCCTTGAAGGCATCACTCTGAATAAACTCAGTGTCCATATTCTTGAACTCTAAGGTTTCCAAGTTAACCAGACTTTGAAGGTCAGTGTTGTCCCTACCAATTATACTTTGTGAGAAGTGACTGAGTGAGAGTTTCTTCAGTTTTCTTAATCTCGATATCGCTGTATATGGCACAGCTGAAGAACTTCCCTGAATCGTTAGTTCCTCCATATAATCCTCTAGTCCTGCAAAGGCATTGTTATCAAAACTGGACACCGAATTTTTACTGAGGTCAAGAACTTTGAATTTGAGTCCTTGAAACGCGTTTGCAGGCACTGTTGTAATCTTGTTGCATCTTGAACAGGAAGGAGATGGGGACTGAGTGTTACTGAAGGTCACCTCCAAGAAAACCTCATCTGATGGACTGAAGACAGGTATACTAGACAGTCCGGCGTCTCGGCAGTTGATGACGCGTTCACTACTACCCGGTGGTCCTTCGTCACACGTACACCCGCTATTTGCGGGCGCTGGACAACTTTGTCCTAAACAGGATTTAAAAACGAGCACCAAGCTTAATATAATCAGACTCTGCATGTTTTCGTTTAATCTGAAAAGAAGAAAAATAATGTAAAATTAGATAAATTCTGTTCCTTCATTTAAGAACTCTTAATTAGGCTAAAAATATATAAAGATACTAACAGTTAAAATACTTATAACAGTAACGGTTATAAAATTGGTACAAACACTATGAATCCTTAGCTTTTAAGTCCCTTTCAATTGAAGCTACTGAATATTATTAATATTTTGCTTTCTAAACTCTGCATTAACTGTGTTAACACTTAATAATAGGAAGTGCAAATTTCCTGTACTGTCCTGAACAGAAAAATTTTATCCCGTAATCGGGAAATGTTTATTTGTTTGTAGATGTTTTCTTGCCCTCTTTACTCTTGGTAAACCAGAACTCGCTAAAAAAAGCAACTGCCAAATTCTTTTATGAAAATCAATTAAGAACCTTTCAAGATATTTTTTTAATTTTTAGTTCTGGGAACATCTAAGTTAATTGAAAATAAAACAATTCTGATTTACATACCTTGTGAGGAATATGCGGTAAATGTCAGTGATCAGTCTTGTGTAAGCTGTTTCGAGTTGTAGTGTCTGGTGAATTATGACAAACCATTGCGAGTCGTGGGTTATTTATATATTTCAACAGGCTTAGAAAAAATTCTGCGAATGAGTCATCACTAGGGTACCCCATACCTGAGCGCCTACGCAAAAGATTGGGGAGGGACGACAGGTAACAAAGGCCTGCCGTGTAAGGCCCTGCCTATAATAGGTAATCACAGGTTATGGTCAAGATCTTTTGTGCATTCACTGCACCTCTCTTACGGTAACAATAGCAACCACACAGGATGGATTTGGGATTTGTAAAGAAGCCTTTATAAAACAATTTTTATTGAAAAAATGCAACGAGGTATTAAGAAATTGGTCACATGGAGGGATTCAACCCTAATTTCCCTTCGCTGAGTGTTTGATGTGTAAACAAATAGGGGGGAATATGATATCCTTATAACGTATTTTACAAGAATTTTATCGTCGTTTCTAGAAGTTTTTTAAAGAAATATAATGCGAATGTCTGATTTGCTTTTTTTTCTATTTTAAATCTTGCAGATAAACAAGGATCTGAAATCTCTAATTAGTTTTGAATGTTCCATATTATTTTTTACCTTACCTGTTTCATTTTTTTAAAACTGGATATTGAAAATTAGTTCCTTAATAAGTTTTTGCTACATGTCGTAAAATAGGCTTATCAGCAGGTCATTTTACGGACCATGTGCAATTAATATATACTTCAGTGGCAGACGTTTTGCGGCTTTTCACGAATGAAAATCCATTATATAAATTCTTGACGTTCCATTTAGGAGAGTGAGGTTAAATTGCATTGGTTGGTTGTCCCTTCCTAGTCATAATTAGGTAATGAACAAGATTTTGTACAACATTCCTACAGGTAACACTAAAATGGAAAAATTATTAAATTACCTAAAACTTATCCTAATTATCAATTTTATAGGATTAAAAAAAATACAAGGGAAATTAAGGCCCTCTTTTTGTACCTTTTTTTCAATACTCAGTAAATAAAAAATTGTAAATTTAATCAAATTGTACTAATTTCTCTCGGTTTTCTTTTTCTCTCTTCTAAACATGTAAAAATACAATGTATACATGTATGTAAATTTTGTAATTCATTGTTATCAATCTTAATTTAATATCCATATTAGATATCAAATCCTCAAATGGGCATGATTTAGTAGTCTCAAAAAGGTCACAGAATTTAAATCGATTGTAATACAATTAATCATTATTTCAAAATCTTTATAAATAGCTTTACGAGATGATTCCCTGTTGTAAATTTACCGGAAATGTGATGAGGAATAAAATCGGCGTATATCTGATAAAACCACACAATAGCAGGCACGTGCGTTCTAAAGATTGTTACATTTGATAATTTGCTACTGTATAACCGTTTGAAATTTTTTATTTAAATAAAAAGAGTAAATATAACTCATTCGTAACTGACTAATAAAGGAGTGCTCTCTTAATTCTTACTTTAAAAAAAGAAAACTTTATCTTCAATTTTTAGCATTTTAAGATAAGATACTTTTTTTATCGTTGAATACCATTTATCCAATATAATTATAGAAACATAACTGATTACATTTCCCCAACCCTTTGAATAGAATGCCTTGTATACATATAAAAAAAAAATGGCCCTACATGTGTTTGATTTAATGACATATCGTTCAAAGTATGTCTTATACCTTCCAAAGTTCTGTTAATACTAAACTTGGAAATCATGATTATATGTAGATGAAATACTAATGAGCTAATTTAATGCAAAATGAATAAGTGTAGCTTTACATAAATGAAAAGTCCACAAACTAATAGATAATTAAGAATCGAAATAAAAAAAATCATTCAAAGAGATTCTTTCGTCTATAATTTTATTTCCATGTCAATTTTCTTTGTCATTTATAATTTATATGTAATGTCACAAACATTTTTCCGATGCAAATGATGTTTTGTATGCCTTAATCAGTCTTGCTGTTTTCCCAGTAAATGTTTCGTATTCTTTTGAATGGCTGTTGTTTTTAAACCATGATGTTCTGAAATGATTTAAACGCTACAAACAAATAAAAACTAAACAAATAAAAATTCCATTTTTAGATTAATAATTTTCCTCATTCTGTAAGTTAATCTATTATATTCACCCACAAAAAACTGAGAGATGTCAAAGTATAAATCACAATTTATTTAAAGATTGGTACTGTGCCCTTTCTGACTTTCTTGAAATTGTATTTAGTATTGTTTACTTTTACAAAACGTGTAACCATGCACCTAACCTACAAAATGCCAGTAGCATTGATTTCTATTTTTTTTTTTTTTACAAAGTAATTAAATATTTAAAAAACAGATGCTGGAAATTGTTATTGAGTTGTTTTTAATATTAATATTGAAAACCCTCAATAAAAAGGTCCGTTTTTCCAAGAATCGTATTCAGAAGCCATTTAGAAATTCCTGTTTCATATTCAGGGAAATCTTCGCATCATCTCGGACCAATGCAAAGATCATCACTGATTAAATCTTGTGCAATCTCAGGAATCTGTATATTTCATGTATATCTCACGCTGAGTCTGGATGAGATTTGCATTATATTTAGAAACAGAGAAAAATAGCTCCGATCCCCACCGTGCGTAGAATATATGACGATTTCATAGCTCATCTAGAACATTACATTACAAAGATTCTCATGAAAAGTACATGTACATGTATCTGTTAATATTTCTTTGTTTTTCTTTGTATTTGTCACACAAGAAAGAAATTTCAAACGTAATTTTATCATAGTTAAATTTGAGGCTTATTATTGAATAAATATATCAGAAATGAAACTAATTTGATCACACATCGGGCATCTGATGATGTACTGATCATTAACTGATTTTTTTAAAATCATTAATGTTGTTGAACATACTATGTCAAAAGCCCATGTTTTAAATAATGGTGTTTTCGTTATTTGCATTTATTTCTGAATTATTTACATTTATGATGTTGTTTGCTTAACAGCTGATAAATAGGGGTAAATAGAATATTCAGTCTATTTCTGAATTATTTTTAAGAATGCAGAATGCGAAAAAATAATTAAACAATATTCTCTAAAAACTAGGAATATTTCTTTTTCACCTGTACATGTTAAAACATATATTAACATTTATTTTCTTTTATATAACATCAGTGCTCAAATATAAAATACATCAAACCCATTTCTACACTTTTTAAAAAAAGAGCTTTTTTCTCTCAGCGAGTACCAAGAGGACGCATTTCAAATCAATGAAACGAAAATGATTTATTATAAGATTGCATATACATGTAAGTATAAAAGAGTATATTTATATATCAATATAATATCTAGTCCATTATGTTCCTGCGGTAAGGTAGAAAATACACATCATTATTTTTTCTCGTGCCCTAACTACAACGAGGCCAGGAAAGAGTTTTTCGATAAGTTCTTGAGATTTAATAAAGTCCATATTGTTGACATTCAGACTTTACTCTGGGGGGATACATCACTCAGTATTGCTGAAAATGAATATCTATTTTCTATTGTACATTCTTATATTCAGCATTCTGGTAGATTTAACTGATTGTACACATTTTTTTTAAATTATTTGTATAAACAATAATGTAGCAGTCTATATATGTCCACAATGAGAGTTTATTTAATTTACTTGTTATTTATTTTGTATAAACTGTTGAACACTTCTAATTCATCCTGTTATAATATCTCATGTAGGGAGAGGGCGATTTAAGTTTTTAGAACTTGTGCCCAATCCCATTGTATATATTTTGTGCAATAAAATATGTTCAAATCAAAGAGTGGTAAAAAATTAGCAGCGTTCGAAATAAAGTTATGAATGCAAAATCTCAACATACTGTTTAATTTGTTTTTGTTAGAGATGGCAAATTCTATGTACATTTAAAAAATATATTTTTTACAATCAATTATAAACAAAATGAACATAATTTGATTTTTTAAGAAAGAAACAAAATTTGTAGACAATACCCCCGGTAATCCTGACTTCTAATTTTTCTTTATTATCTGCCATAAAGTGCATTAGATGCTTCAAAACAACTAAGAGTTCTACAATACTTTCAAAGAAAGATAAAAAAAGAAAAAGAAAATCCCCAGTATTGTACAGAAGTTTGACGTATTGACATACATGCCTCATTTAATGATACATGTTAACTGAGCAAGAAAGTCCTTGAACAAAATTGAATGCACCTAAATAACTTATTTAAAGTTTAAGCTAAGACATAAATAATTAGAAACAGAGGCAAACGTCTCAGGTAGCGCGTTTATTTACACAATATAATATCATTGCAAATTATGCTGTTCTTTCTAATTATTATCATTCTAAAATAGAGTACATACATTTTGTTCATCACATTTAACAATTTGGGATGAAACAAAAATCTCTGCTAAATATAGAATAGTTATTAAATGGGGTGGACATTTTTTGACATGATCAAGCAATTTTTAGATTAGATTTTTCTGAAATTCTGATTTATATATCTTATAAAAGAGGTAGTAGGGCTATGAATGTGTGTAATTAGCTTTGCTTTTTATTAGTGGTAAGCATGGTGAATAGAATTTGATGTGTAGCGCTGACAGTTATAAACACATCGTCATGGAATTTGAACAATTTACAACCAATCACAGATGTTACTAGAGGTACTTTTTATCTTGGTACTGCGGTTGAATCAACATTAAATTAGAAGTATATTTAGTGTTCACTGGAGCCAAAATAACTCAAAGAATCTCCTCATCCTTAATCTTATTTTAAAAGTTTTTATAAAAAATGGAGAGGTCGAAGACTGTTAGGGCAATTATAATACATTTCGAAACCGGAAGCAATATCCTTTTTCCCTTAATCTAATTAGCAAAATTGTTCTAAACTGAAGGAAAAATACCCTTTAGTCAATCTATTTTATGGAGCTTTTGATACAGTTAGATCATTGACAACCATACGGAGCAAATAATGTGCCCAATAACTGAAGGATTCAAATCTTTCGTGTTATTATCTTCTTTGATAAAGGATTATCAAAATCGATGAACATT